ATAAGAATAATAACGGTGTGAAATATGTCTGTTTTTTTTTTTTTAGAAAATGCTTTGTCACAGAATAGTATGAAATAGTTATGGGACAAAAACAACAAACCTGCTTTGAAATCGAAAAAAAAATGGGTCTTTTGATTACCGGGGACACATTTCAATGAACTTGATCACGGGAAATGCATGGCGCAAATTTCAAGCGGAAATTCCGTTGTGAGCTCTCGCAATCGCGTCATTTTTACAAGGTTCGCCATCTTTTTGTCACGTGGTAACAATGACTGTCCGGTGAGTGCGAACATGGAAGGTACTACCTTCCATGGTGCGAACTTGTCCCTCTATATTTAGGCTTTTGAATCATAAATTCTAAAGTATGGTTCTGAATGAAACAACAGGCAGAGAACACTTTATTCAAAAACGTCGTCAAACCCTTCTCACTACCTTAGCGTGACCATATAAGGTACTCCTTCCATGTCGTGACAATAGCATAACCCCAGACTAGTAATATTACGAGTCTGATGCATAACGGTCCAGTGGCCGACATCCTGTGTGTATTGCAAACAAATATCATAGCGCCGGTCGGCAATTTTTTATTCTGGTCGGAAATTCTGAATGGCGGTTTCTTGCAGCGAGCGTGGGCAGTCCGAACTTTAAACTATATGTTTGCTTAATCACATCATTGCAAATTGGAAACACATTCAGTTGTTTAGATCGTTCTGCAAAGACACGTAACGTCGGCGGCGGCGTATGGGTCTTGGGGTGGGACCAATAATTTTCTGCCACCAGAATGCGACAAAGCTCAAAAATATCTTCGTGGATAATTTCTTTTAAGAGTACACTCTGCTAACCAAACTTGTATTTTCCCTGTTGAAATGCGAACACTATAATTTGTTGTCCACAAGCTGTTTTTTTTGCAACATAATCAGACGGCCTGCTGGTACGACAGGATTTCGTTAAGATCAAATTCTGTGAGTATTCCATACCCGAAAAACTTCGTTAGGTTCTTTCTTTAGAAACGAAAAAAAAAATGAAACATGAAAGCAGTATTATCAATATACGTATCAAGTACAAGGAAATAAACATATTTCTTTAAATATTCAAGCTACAGCAACGAGAATTCATAAACTTGGGCTGTATTGATACTTGTATCATGGATGAATATATTTCATAAAATATAGGAAAATTAAAGTAGATCAATGCTGTACCTAGTTTTCATTTGTACGTTCTATTCAATTTTAAACTCATTTGTGTTGCAATCACTGATTAAAAATTATGCACTTCCCTGGAGCCATGCTAGCAGTATTCTTTCGATAAATTTCTCTTGAACGAGTTTATACAATTTGTTTTAAAATATATAAACAACAATGCCAGCCTTTTGTAATAAATCATGTTATTTGATTAGACTTGTGATTATAAATGTCATGTAATTATTTGAAAATGCTAACAAGTAACACTTACATGAATATGAAAAGAGCTTTGTAAGAATTGTTTGCCTGTATCATATTTAAATCACAAAAGTGTATAATATTTTTATCTAAATATTCGCCGTAAAAATAATAGGATAAATTCAGCTAAAATTGTGCATTGTTGTTGCGGAGAATGCCCCGGAAGAATTCTATACGTTGATTACTTGTACTAGTTCCATATATAAAATTAGCGTGGGCGTAGTAGGATTTTCTGCATCTGTTCTACATGCCCGTTTTCTGTCCCTTTGTTACCACGGACTACTCTCGAGCATCCTCAATTTATTATCACTGCATCCATGTAGTAGCCAGCAACTACTCTGGGAACATTGCTCGTCGTATGCGCCTACATCCACGTGATGTACCGTGAATATCCGTCAACAGTCCCATGTATGGCTATTCCATTGTGTTTCAATTGATCGTACCAGTCTACCTGCCATATGTATTTCGGACTAGATGTGCGATATTGCCGACGTCTTAGGAGTCTTCTGCGACGACGATTAACAACCTCTGGATCAAGAATAAAAAAGAGAAGTTTCCCCGTATATATCGCTTTTGAACTTGCGTCTATACAGTTCGAAATCATTTTAAGGTCGTTTCAAATGTATTATACTAATTAAAATCCATGAATACAGTGAAAAGTTACCCAGTATGTATAAAACTGTATCACGTCGTAGTGTTAATGACCGTCCCAATGGAGATAACAATGAGAGTTAGCGTGTATGTCAAATGAAACGAGCGTTATAACCTATTTAAATTTTACCAATACATTTTTTTTTGGTCACTATGAAATTCAGAAAAAAACTTGAATCAGGTATCAATGGTATTTTCTCTAACCACAGTGAAAACGGCGAACTCAGCACAAGGCTCGTTCAGTACTTATTTGATCCACACTAATTTATCAAGTTCAAACAAAATAATAACCACAGTTTTCCTATTTCCCGAACTTCTCAAAAACGACTGTGAGTTGAATGACGCAACTAATAATTTCAACTAGTTATTTTACTAGGCGAAGGCTGTGTATAGGTTTGCAAAAGTACGGTACAAACAGTCAAAATGAACCAAATTTCTTTCAGAATTCTGACAACAGTGTAAAGATGTTAAACTACAGAATGTCACTCAGAAATAACCAATTACAATAGACTGACCATTTATTATATGTTGAAACACAATGTTAATCTGGAACAATATTTCACAGCTATGACATCTTCCTATCGTGTCATTTCTGAGCAAGAGAAAGCCACATTATCTTTTGTGACCAACAACAATGTGTTTGTGACTTGAGTAAAGTTCAAACAGAATATCAGTTTCCTTTGCAAAATTATGTAAATTTGTGATTATTAATAAAAAGCTAATCGGGTATGTGCATTATCCCAAAGCACCTGCACACCAGGTGTGACGGAAACATAATTTCGCAATACCATTGAAACGGCTAAAGTTTGTCTACTTATCAAGCAAACATTAATAAAATAATATTAACGGATGTAAAGTAAAAACTGTTCAGGTATGTGTATTATCCCACAAAAATATATGTACCAAGTTTCACTGGAATCTGATAAGTGGTTTATGGGATATGTAAATCATTGGTACCCAATTGGAAATGCAGTTTTTATTGAATCTCAAGAACAGCTGTAATTGCACAACTGGAACCTTGTAAAACAATACATTCACCAATGATACACAATATACAGTATCAAATTTAATTAAAAAATACTATAAAGTAGTAATGTGCACATAATTTATAACTAAAAAATGATAATAATATTACATATCACAATTGGCTGGTGACCCGATGAGAATGTCCTCATCCTGTCTATACAAGTAAATTAGTTAAGATAATTAAAGCAAAACAATACATGTGTTTATTGAGATAATACATCTATATCATTGTACGATAATCTGATAACGTGATGTGAAGGTCACATTTTTCATACATGACAATGAGTTAGAAAAGTAACACATGTCTGAAGGTTTCTGTGCCCCCACGTCTTGCAAGTTTTTGGTCTACATTATCTATTTTATAGCTCAACTTAATCTCGTGTTTTTTTAATGTCCTTTCTATTATGGAAAGAAAGCACATTCTGAATGAGTCTGTTCCATGACTAACTTTACTATCGTCACTTGTGTTATACTTCTGTCCAGTTTTCAAACATTCTAACACAACCAATAATTCATTTCCCAATTTATCAGCGTTCTTTATGGAATGAACAATTTGCGTGCACATGTGTTCTTCTCGAACGCTTGAATATGTAAAACCCTTGTAACATTGTTTGCATTGAAATGGCCTCAACCCTGTATGTGTAAGCATGTGCTGTTCTAGATGGCTAGACGTAGTAAAGCATTTCTCGCATCGTGTGCACTGGAATGGCGTCAACCCAGTATGTGTAATCATATGACTTTTTAGAATACTAGACTGAGTGAAGCATTTCTCACATTGTTTGCACTGAAATTGCTTCCACCCCGTATGTGTAAGCATGTGCTGTTCTAGATGGCTAGACGTAGTAAAGCATTTCTCGCATTGTGTGCACTGGAATGGCTTCAACCCAGTATGTGTGCGCATATGCTGTTTTAGATGGCTAGACCAAGTAAAACACTTCTCGCATTGTGTGCACTGGAATGGCTTCAACCCAGTATGTGTAAGAATATGATTTTTTAGACAACCAGACCGAGTGAAGCATTTCTCGCATTGTTTGCACTGAAATGGTTTCAACCCAGTATGTGTAAGCATATGATTTTTTAGACTACCAGACTGAGTGAAGCATTTCTCACATTGTTTGCACTGAAATGGCTTCAACCCAGTATGTGTAAGAATATGATTTTTTAGAATACTAGACTGAGTGAAGCATTTCTTACATTGTTTGCACTGAAATGGCTTCAACCAAGTATGTGTAAGAATATGATTTTTTAGAATATTAGACCGAGTGAAGCATTTCTCGCATTGTTTGCATTGAAATGGCTTCAACCCAGTATGTGTAAACATGTGCTGTTTTAGATGGCTAGACCAAATAAAACACTCCTTGCATTGTGTGCACTGGAATGGTTTTAATCCAGTATGTATACGCATGTGAAATGATAGACCACTTGGATGAGTGAAGCATTTCTCACATTGTTTGCACTGAAACGGCTTCAACCCAGTATGTGTAAGAATATGATTTTTTAGAATACTAGACTGAGTGAAGCATTTCTCACATTGTTTGCACTGAAATGGCTTCAACCCAGTATGTGTACGCATGTGAATTGTTAGACAACTAGATTGAGTGAAGCATTTCTCGCATTGTTTGCACTGAAATGGCTTCAGCCCTGTATGTGTAAGCATGTGTTGTTTTAGATATCTATACTGAGTGAAGCATTTCTCGCATTGTTTGCACTGAAATGGTTTCAACCCAGTATGTGTAAGCATGTGATTTTTTAGACTACCAGACTGAGTGAAGCATTTCTCACATTGTTTGCACTGAAATGGCTTCAACCCAGTATGTGTACGCATGTGAATTGTTAGACAACTAGATTGAGTGAAGCATTTCTCGCATTGTTTGCACTGAAATGGCTTCAGCCCTGTATGTGTAAGCATGTGTTGTTTTAGATATCTATACTGAGTGAAGCATTTCTCACATTGTTTGCACTGAAATGGTTTCAGCCCAGTATGTGTAAGCATGTGCCGTTTTAGATGGCTAGAATTAGTGAAGCATTTCTCACACTGTTTGCACTGAAATGGCTTCAACCCAGTATGTGTAAGCATGTGCTGTTTTAGATGGCTAGACTGAGTGAAGCACTTCTCACATTGTTTGCACTGAAATGGTTTCAGCTCTGTATATGTACGCATGTGAATTGTTAGACCACTTTCCTGAGTGAAGCATTTCTTGCATTGTTTGCACTGAAATGGTTTCAGCCCTGTATGTGTAAGCATGTGTTGTTTTAGATGGCTAGACTGAGTGAAGCATTTCTCACATTGTTTGCACTGAAACACTTTTTTCTTGGACTGCACATCTTCAGTCTCCATGTTGATTTCGTCATCATCCTTACTGTTATCTGGACGTAAAGACATTTTACAATATGTATGTACTTCTACTATTAGGTTATAAAAATTTATCTGAGTGTATGAGTTAGAATGCAATATGAATGTAATCTTATTGGATGTTGACAGCAGTTTGAAATAATTACACAATTCAAGTCAATGAACTATCATGCAATTCTAAAATTCCACATTTAAATTGTGTTATTTTCTCATTAATAATACAAAGCATACCATATGACATTGAAAGAATAATTCGCTATGTGTATAAGTGGGTAATCTTCTGATAAATTTGCAGTGACTTTAATTATAGCAGGTTTGTATTGATTTGTTAAAGTGCAGCATTGTTACTTCTTTGGAAATCTTGAAAGAATAGAGATGAAATGTACTATTCCTGAGTTTCATTGCGTGAAGTGTTCTTCATCTATACATTGGCAGCCACTTCAGTTTTCACCTATAAAATAATAAAACACATTTTTGTCTACTGAGGGAAAAGTTGAAAGGCATAATGAAATGTATCAACAAATATTTACAGTACGACATTATATTAACCTAACTAAAATGATGAATATCTTAGCTACAGTGTACCAACTAATTATGTTCTGAATGATTCCACGAAAATAGCTAACTGAACGAAATGTAACACATTGAAAGTGTGGTGCAACATCATAGAAGCCTAGTAAGATCACATGTATATTATCAAGATGGTATGTTAGTACACATGCGTCTCCATGCCGTCTAACATACATGTGTATTAGCTAACTGATTGTAATCAGATATATTCTGGTATGTATGCCGAACGTTTAGCAGGTAAGAAAGCTATTCTGCTAGTCTCCATAGACTGCTGACAAGAATATAATTTACCAAAGTTATGGTGTGGCATCCGAACATCCCAGGCAGAAAGAATGCTATGCTTATGTTTTTTCATGGATGCTTACAAAATGGCTACTGTATTACTTTATTCACTTTGTTAAATGTTTGGAGATGTTGAATATGTCAATGCATGGAGGTAAAAAAGTTACAACTGATTTAAGATCGAAGGTCTCATGACCATTTCCGCCGTTTACACAGTGATTATAATGTTTGCTTGTTAATCTAGTAGCAAACAACAAATTATCAAATTAACATACTTTATGACAGGACATTCTCACGCAATGAAATTTTTGCGTGAAAGCACATTTTGTCTAATTCGCGTTTTCCTTGCAGACAATTTATATCAGCTTTATTGTTCAATGCCGGTTACTAATTAACACATTAAAAACTAGTGTTACACTTCCACTAGCCATCACATGTCCAAGGATTATCGCTATCTTTACTGCAGTTCACACTAAGTACGGCAATCATTTTGCCAAGTAAAAAATACGGAAAACAATGCATCGGTATTCAGACAATGTAATCAGTCCGTATGTGACATCGTCACGCCAGAAGCTACAGTTACCCAAAAAACAAGATAAGCTCTGGCAATATTTAATGTATTCAAAGCACATCGATGTGAAGATGGCGAATGTGTTTGTTCAGGCCTATTGCACCCATCGGTTGTAGGCCTTTGACCTTACCGTCAATAAACCTTTCTAAGACTCACTGAAATCTTAACTTTCAATTGTTGTACACTGACCATATTTTGAAGGGACTGCAGACGGGAGCTGATACTTCCGATGTCACTATTACGGACGTACTTCGAGAGCCCTCGGGAATATTTGAAAACTGTCTGGCCAAAGGTCTTTGTTTAAAATGGCGTCACTGGAACTTAAGTTGTGTACGCGTTCTCGAAGACGATGATTGTTTCAAGTCATCGGAAGTAAATGAAATTAAAAAAAGTCGTGATTGAAGAGGATATATTTTGTCTCAAAACCGCGACGCCAGGATAATAGTGAAAGATGTACCCGGATGTTTTCCAATACCGATAACTACAATAAAACAAGCAGCCTATCGGCTAAGATAGCTCCGCTGTTAGCAATGTACATGTCAATTAAAGAACTGAAGACATCATTAGAAAATGAACAATATGTATAGTATCAAATCAATCAGACTTCAAGTTTTTAACAAGAAGTCGAAAATATCACTTTCTACCAAAAATGACCAAAATATTCACCAAAATTAGAGATTGAAAATATCATCACGAATGAACAATCTAAGAAGGTCTACATGTAGTATCTATATATGTAATATCAAGGTAATTGAACTTTTGGTTTTTTACAAGAAGTCGAA